TTCTTCTAAAATTCTAAGAAAAAAATCCTGAACAAGTATTATTACATCTCCACTTAAAATCACTAAAAAATATTATCATTTAAGAAATTAAGGCCCCCTTCACCCAATCTCCCTGACCCTTGCCCCTAAGCCATCCAACTTAATCTTGACTGTGTTCATCACTGTTAAGTGTCTGTTGTACATGTAGTCTTTCTGCCTTTCTCCTATGCTTACCAATATCCACCTGTTTATCTGTCTGTAGAAATACATATGCTAATCTATTTACCAAAATTAGACCATACTGTGATTATTGGGCTTGATGTTCTTAGATGAGAATCTTGCTTAAAAAAATAGAGACATACCTATTTATTAAGAATTGATCTCTAATATACCACTGCATGCATTTTTATTAATTTCTGTGAGTTATTCTCCTTTCATGGATATATTAGTTTTCAAATTTTAGGTATCATAAATATTCTGCAATGAGCACCCTTGTGCTTACATTTTTCTCTCTTCATGATATTATTTCTGTATAACAGTTTGCAAAAAGTAAGATGGCTGAGTCAAGGAATATGCACTTTTTAAAATTTTATAAACAAAGCCAATGTACCCTTCAAACAGTTGTATGAATTTACATTACCGCTAACTCTAAACAACCAGTACATGCTATAAATTTATTTTTATTTCAGATAATCTGATAGAAAAAATATAGTCAACAACGTTTCACTTTATTGGATATTGATATTTCTTTTGTGAATTGTTCTTTTATACATTTTGCTTATTTTCCTAAGACTTTTTGCTTTATGCATTTTGCTGTTACGTTGTTTGGTGAACAAATGTTTGTGAATGTTATATTTTCTGTATCAATTGTACTCTTTGGTATTTTTGGTTTTAAATTCTACTTTATAGGGTAGAAATTTGGATGCTATGATTTTCGTCTGTTTGCATTTAATTACTCTGTCTTTGCCCATCTCTTTACTTTCAACTTAACTATTGCTTTAGATTTAGGCACGTTGCCTGTTAGATTTTATAATCCGAAAAGCTTTCCCTTCTATGGGATCATTTAAATTATTCTCATTCATCGTCAAAACATATATGCTTGTCAGATGCCCATTATTTTCTTTTTTACTTTTGTTATATTTTTATAATTTCTCATTTTTTCTAGATCAAAACAATTATTTTCCTAAAATTTAATGATCAGCAAAAATGTCTTTTTCCTTCATATAGAGAAAAATGATCAATTAAAATATGAATATATAGAAAAAGTAATCAACCATAGTTTTACTATTAGGAGGTTATCTATTTACACTTTGTTGTAATATCATAAAGTCACATTTTTTTTGTATGTATTGTGAGTATGCATAGGGGTGTTCTTTTGTGTATATAGATGCAATTTTATACCTGCCATTTTTATAACATTATCTTCATGGGCTTTTTTTGTTGTTTTTTTTTTGAGGAAGATTAGCCCTGAGCTAACTACTGCCAATCCTCCTCTTTCTGCTGAGGAAGCCTGGCCCGGAGCTAACATCCAATGCCCATCTTCCTCTACTTTACATGTGGGACGCCTACCACAGCATGGCCTGCCAAGCGGTGCCATGTCCACACCTGGGATCCGAACCAGCGAACCCCAGGCGGCCAAGAAGTGCAATGTGGGAACTTAACCACTGCGCCACCAGGCCGGCCCCAATTCATGGGCATTTTTTTCACAACAATTAAAATATTATAATATTATTGGCAGTAATATATCTTTCAGATTACTTGTATTGTTCAACCATTTTTCCATTGTTTAAATTTTACATTGTTTATACCGTTTGGCTATCTTACATAATGGAAAAACAAATAACTGATTTCTTCCTTAAGATTCATAACTAGAATTCAGAATCCTTGTGAATGTGCTTAAAAGTTGAATGTTATACATTCAATCAGTTGTGAAAATCCAATTCATACTAACAACTTAAATGAGTAATTTTATCATAAAGATTCTGATAGCAAGTCGATCTTAAAAATATGTCTTTAGGAATCTTCTTCACTCTTCATCTTCGTAGGAGAAAAATACATGGTGGTAATAATATCCATCAATTCTTCCTGACCTTCTTAGAGTGCAGGCATGCAAAATATTATTGGCCCATCATGAAACTTAGCATGGGACTCTTGGACCTGCAAGGTTCAGGGGCCCACCATGGAACAATCCATTTCGGTTGTGACTTGGGTCATTTGACAGAAAAGCTCAAGCTTTGTGGCTGGTGAATGGGAGTGAGGTTTATGATATATATTTTCAAATTTATTTTCATAAATATTATACTACTCAATAGTCCCATCTATGGGGGATAGTATTGAGTCTTGATCTTCTATTCTTTTCTTAAATCTGTCACATCTGTTCTATATACAGCAATATATCCACAAAAGTTCTCTCATATGAATACCACACATGCCTGGTTTCTTAGCTCTGCTACAGGATTTAATTTTTGTAAATTCTACACAGTCTTTTTGGTATATTCCAGAGACTGCTTTGCAGGGATCACCAATGACCTTCAAGACTACCAACTTGAGATTACTTCTCTGATCACGTCTTATCTGAGCAATCATAGCATTCCTCACAGTTGATCAATCTCTCCTTAAATCTGGTCCTTTTTCTCTTAAGGGAAGAGTTTCCAAGGCATTGTATTCTCTTGGTTTTAAACACTCTTCGGCAGCTCATTTTCTGTCTCCTTTTTTAGTCGCTTTTCCTACAGTTAACCCTGATCTATCCTCCAGCCCTCTATCTATCTACAACACTCTCATGTGAGCTCATACAGTCCCATGCCTGTAAATGACACCAATATGCCCATGGATCCCAAATGGGTATCTGATCCTGACTCCAGACTGTATACCTTGCCATCTATACTCTCTCTATTTGTACTTCAAAGAGTCACCTCAAATTTATTAAAAATTAATCTAAATTTTAGCATTTTCCCCAATCTACTTCTCTCTAGACTTCCTCATCTCAATAAACTGCATCAGTAACCCCTCGTTTGCTAAGAGCAAATTCTCAGTTATTCTGTATTAGGCTTTTCATCACCTCACATCCCATCTATCACTAAACCTTGCCAATTCTAGTTCAAAAGCATTTCCCCAATTCATTTCTTCATCCCCATCTCTACTCACCATTGAGACAAACTGCTTACATTTTAGTATCTTATCAGTATTCTTCCTGCTTTGACCTCTTAGAACTCTTGACGTACTAACTGTGGTGATATTTGTACCTTCCTTACTTCCTTCCATTTCTGTTTTTGGTGTTTTTACCCAAATATGTTTATGGATATCAGTCTTATCTTTTTTCTTCCACTTCCTTAACATTTTCCTTCTCTTCTAGTTCTTTCTTCTTCCTCATACCTGACATGAACGTATGTTAACAAACTACATTTACCCTTATTCATGCCAGCGTCAGCTTATTTTTTTTACAAATATATACACGTTCTTGTTTTTTTAATACAAAACCAGATTTTATTTTATACTCTTCTTTCATTTGTATGTTACATTTCTTACACAATAAAACAACTAGGTAATCCTACCAAGTCAATGGGTATAGATACACTTTATTATTTTAATAGGCACAAGGTCTATGATATATACAATAATTCATGTGACTATTTCCTTATTGATGATAATTTTCTTTGTTTCCAGTTTTTTTATAACTATAAACAAACAAGGCTGAATTAAGTATTCTTGTGAATATCCTTTTATTCTATGTAGAGTCTCAAGAATGCAATGGCTAGGTCAAAAGTTATATGCAATTTTCATGTTAATAGAGGTTGCCAGATTGCTTTCCAAAAAGACGATAATACATAGGAATGTAATATTTGTTCATCTTGACTTACAATAATTTATCTTAACGTTGCTCCTTTTGCTAAGTTAGTTATATAGCATCCAATTACATTAATTTCTTTGGCAACATATTAGAAATGTAGCTTTGGCTCTTAAATTAGCATTGTTCTGGCATCAATCCCAATGCTACTTATTAGGATTGAAAAGTAAGGGGACAAAAAAGATAAAAACCCATTATCAGTATCAGATAAATAAATCACATTGTTCAGTTGGTGATCTACTGTTCTTTTAAGACGTGAAAGAACTGTATAATATAAATTGTCTAATTTACTTCTTAGGATTGAACCTAAGAAAAATTGTGAAATTTCTTTCTAATCCTTTTTACATTTGCTTTAGTTTCCACATTTCCACAATTTCTACATTTCTACCAGCTATTCAAGACACATATCCTCAAGCAGGAAATTAAATTGGTGCTCTGTGCTGCCAAGCCTGCCCAATATCAGCTCTAGGGAAGTTGCCAGAGAATCAGAGAAATTAAAGCTTGAAAACACATAAGATACTATCTCGCTCATTCCCTTTCGTTTAGAGGTGAAATCCCTGAGGCTAAGGAAGTTGAGTCACTATTCCTCCAATATCCATGGTCGCTTTAGTTGGACATATCTTAAAGTGGTTTCTAGTAAGCTATTACTTGTGATAGTGTCTACCCAAATTTAGGTTCCATATTTATTGATTCTAAGATGTCTTTTTGTTTTTTACATCTCTGTAATTCAGATGTGTCTTATAATCAGTGGCTTCTCACAGTTAATTGGCAGTATCTTTTCATTTATATTAGAGATAAAAAGGGTACTTCTTATATTTGATGGGGTACTCGATTTCTTAAAATACAGTGTTTGTTTTTAACAGGCCCCACATTTCAACCCAGAAGAACTGAATTACAAAAACAGGAATATGGGGGATAGACCTACTTTTAGGTAATAATTAATAATTACCTAAAAAAGTCACCATCTCCTTTCAAATCATACAATAACAGTATCAGCTACAGATAAGGTCAGTACTGGTTATTCAATACATATCCCATGGCTAGTTTATTTTTATTTATTTATATTTTTTTGCTGAGGAAGATTCGCCCTGAGCTAACATCTGTGCCAATCGTCCTCTATTTTGTATGTCGGTTGCTGCCACAGCATGGCCACTGACAAGTGGTGCAGTTCTGTGCCTGGGAATTGAACCTGGGCCCCCAAAGTGGAGCATGCCGAACTTAACTACTAGGCCATGGGGCTGGCCCCCCATGGCTAGTTTGTACCAGTGTTTCTCATACTTGAATAACATATAGATCCATTTTAAAGATTCCCTAGCATAGATTAAGTTCATCTGTGGCATGATTTTACTTAAATATGTTAACATCAAACCAATTATAAAACCCCATACGCTTATATCTCTTATGTAAATACAGAACAAAAAAATAGAAATAAAATAAAAATACAACAAAACACCCAAGTTTATAATCTTAATTTAATACAACAGATGATGTTGTTTTGCTGAAACCAAATCCTATCTCAAAACATGAATTTGTTTGTGAGTATTTGTGTGTCACTGCTGATCTAAGCATGTCTGACGATTATGGTGAATATGGATGCTCTATGGTGATGCATCTTAGAATAAACAAAACCTCTGTATTAAGTTCCTGGATTTTTCATTAGTCTGAAAGAATAAAAGCTGTAATACTTGATAACAATGTGATCACAAACATGAACGCAAACACAAGAGATATATAGTGTCAGAACGTAGTTGCAAATTACCATTATATTATACGGTTTTACAAATGATCAAGAATACTCTTATTATGTTAAGATTATGATAGTATTGAAAAGGAAAGTTTTAAATCCCAGTAATATATTCTGCAACTACTAAGAATATATCACAGACGCATTTGAAAAACATTGGGATGTGCTTTTTTTTTGTTTTCCCAGGATGACAGGAACAGGAACTTGGTTCACAGAAGCTCAGGTAAGGCTGAGTTGCTGGCACTCAGAAGTCCACCTAACTTGTGGGTCTTTCACTTTAGTGATGGGAAGTTATCCAGACAGACAGAGTAAAAGCATCCAGAGATTGTAATGACAGGAAGTAGGAAGTCCAGGCACGCGAAGATAGCATCAATGGTCTCAAATAGCAGTAGGCAAAGTCAGGGAATATTTACTCTCCTATAGAAGAACTGGACAGAGTGAATAAGGGCTGGGATTCACGATGTAGGTGTCCAGCTACTGGTCTGGGAAAGGAGACAGAACCTTGTTTTTCCATTCAATTGCAACAATGTTGTCCTGAAATCTTGTGTGAACCAGGAGCAGGTCAGGAACAACGCTCAGCTGCTGAGCAGAAACCGGGTGCCCAGATTTAAGTTAAGTAAAGCAAGATGACGAACAGGGAGTGCGGCAAATCAGTACAAGCACAGAAGACAGGGGATCTTGATTTGAGCCACAATTGTAGAGGGGGAAAGATTGAAGAGGAAATTGCAGCTGCAGAAAGGGCAAAATGGAAGTATAGTGGTGGCAAAAAATAAACTGCAACTTTTTTAGACTAATGTCACTCATTTAAAACTTTTATATTTAAATTATTAATTGTAATTTTTTTCAGCTGGAAAGTTGGCAATTAAACCCATATAATCTATAATTATCTCCTAAAATATTTTCTGATTAAGAAATATTGATTCTGCCTGTTTAGAATTGCAGTTAAATATTCAACCTAATATAAATTCGCAAAGGCATTGAGAGGAACATCTTCTATTTTTTAAAATTAGAGTGGCATTGTTCCATAGAAATAATCCATGTCAAAATGGTTACTGATAACAGAAATCCTAATTGTTTTGAATAATGGGAATAGACCATGGATTCAAAGAGATTGCAACACAGTACGAAATTTAAAGATGCTTACTTATGTACTTACTTTCTGATTTTAATTTATTGCCCCCAAAAGGTATGCTTCCTCTGAGAGGATGGAGAAGTGCTGATTTCTTACTCAACTTCTCTCTTCATTTTTAGCAAAATTCAAATGAAAAGATTCTTTCACATTTTAATATAAGAATTCCATTACGTCTAGTAGTAGTTGTAGTTAGAAATCAGATTGCCCATGGTGGTGGCTCATTATTCTCCTGAACATTAAGGTTGATGTGGGGAAGACTCAGCAGGCATCAGAGCTCATTGGTAATGGCCTAGTGAGGATCATGCAGTGTGATTAGTAGTTTTATTTGAATGACCATTACAGATGTGGCTACTCAACTGCGATAACGGTAAACAAAAGGAATCTGCACTCTCTTCTGAAATATGTCTGTGCAAGAGCAAGGTGTAGGTACAAAATCGTGTTGACCATACTCAGTGTTAGGTAATTTTGAGATCGATTATCTCATGTGGAGAGAAACAATAAAGATAAATTTTATGCAAAAACCTATGTTCTTTCTTAACTGTTAGCATCCTTCATGTACCAGCAGCAAATCTATGGTGTGTTTACTACTTTTTATATATACATTTAGATTTGGCAGTCAAATGCCACCCCACTGTATCATCAAGCATTTAAGTGGCAAAGGCAGACTATTCAGACAGTAAAGTGCCTCTTTTCAGAGAGTTTTAAGATATTTCATTTATTGAATAATACATATAATTATTTATTATTTCATAATCAACTTTATGTTTATTTTATGACATATGTATCATAAGATAGATATATGTACACACGTATGTATATCATGTATATGATAGATAAACTTTGCCACTGGAAATACAATATGACGTTCCATATAGATGATATTCTGTCTCATGGAACAATGCATGTAGTTGCAGTTCCTGTTTCCTGAACTAGAAATGGAGTTGCATGATGTAGATAAAGATATGAACATTTTGTCAGAAGTATTTTGAGAGAAAAATATTGTGAAAACCCTAGCTTAGATTATTATGACTTGTACACACAAGAAAACTACACTATCTGATTCTTTCATGTATGGGGCATCTTCCATTTCTTTAGGAGATGCCTTGGTTCGGTTGAGTAATAGTGAAAATTTTATCTCCTGTCTAATAACTGCAAGTTTCCAAAACTTCAAAAGACATAATGAAAATCATACAGGTCATTAGTGGTTCCCAAAGTGATGCGTCCAGAGAATGACTGCATCCTCAAAATATAAATAAAAAATAACTGTAATGATAGGAGCCAAAAATGGATTTAGTCTCCACACAATATTTAGTGGAGATCATCTAAATGTTTTTTTCTAATTGGATTGTGTTCATACTAAATTCTAACAAATTATTAGGTGATCTGTTCTATAGTGCATAGAAGTTTGGTGAATTCTTGCTCTCTCTTTCTCCCAAGACTTCCAGACTCCCCCAAGTGGATATCTGAGAAATTTAGCCAAGTATCTCCAAATAACTTGGACACTTCATAATGAGCTTTGATCAATCCACACCAACTTTTTTTCTTTGTTTGCATTGAAGCATGGCACATGGAGAATTTCCCTCAGATGAATCTAGCACTCCCCTTTTCTACCCCTGTAATTTAAGATTTACTCACATGATTACTGCTTCTCTTGTAAAAACTCTTTCTCTCTTCTTCTGTCAAAGAGTGAAATTAAACGGGCAGATTATTTAAGGACCATATTGCAGTTTGCAGAGTCACTGCTCTCTAAAATCCTTTATATAGGACACCCGGAATGTACTGTCTTGAAATCTTGACCTTCAAATAAAGAAGATAAACACAGTTTATATGAAAGCGCAGTTTGCTATGACATAGGAACATCACAATGTCTGGAATCTGCTTTAACCAATTGAGCCATTCAAGGCAAGAGGAAAATAAAGCCTTCAGCAAATCCATTGTCTCCCAGCCTCCCACTGCCTGTTATCGATCTTTTTAAGTGCGGACTAATGAGTCGTATATATACCTGACGAGACGCTCTCACCCTACCACCTCACAGGAGTTAAACTTACACAAAGAGAAAATCAGCCGGGCGAGAACGGGGGTGGGAGGTACAACCAGGCTGATGGCTGCCTTGGCCCCTTCAAAATCAGCGCGGTGGTCTGTCTTCAGGGAACGAAGCAGACCCCATTCCCTACTTTCCGTAACAAACCCATTAGCTCCTTTGCAGATTTTCCATTCAGATCGCTTCTGGGGCGAACGCTTTTGTTCGCTGCCACTCTCTGTAATGGGAAAAGAACTATAGAGAAATGCAAAGCAAGCTCGTGGCAGCAGCCTCTTTGCGGCAAAGCATCCCTATCTGTTCAGCTTTGACAATTTAGGAAGAACTGAGGTTCTCCGGGGAGGTGAGTGAAGGGAGCGCCAGATCCAGGAACACATAAAGAGGGAGTCCCGATTTTTACCTACTATCCACTTCCACTTGGATCGCCACAACTCTCTCTCCTCCCCCAAACTATCAAACAAACACTTAGGATCTCTACAAATGGGTGGTGGTGCTGCTGGGTGGGGGGACATTTTCTTTCTCTAAGGTTCGGAACAGGATCCAGCCTCCATACTAAAAATACATTAAAAACAAATAAAATCAAATAAGCCAAAAGCAACGGGTAGCAACTACCTCGAGAGAGAAGCAGCTGCTGGCACCTGCGCGGATACGCTGCAGTTGGAACCGGTTGGCTTTTGGTATTAAATTATTAATTTATTTATCCCCCATGCCCCTCCCCCATCCTCCACTGCCAGGCAAGAAATCTCCGTCTCTAAGACCGCCCCCACCTTAGAGGAGTCTCCCGCTTCTCGGTCGCGGGCCGCTGTGCCGCCCGCCCGCGGTGGCCGTCGTGTCCCCGGCCCTCTGCGGCCGCGGCGTTGAGCGGGGGGCGTCCCGCTCGCTGCGCGCTCCCCCTCGCGCCCCGACCGGCGCGGCCGTGGGTCCCGGCGGCGGCGGGGGAGGGCGGGGGAGGCAGCGGGTGACAGATGTACTCCTCTGACAGCTCTCAGTATCAGCCCAGTGGCTCCCTGCCATTGGCTCAGTGCAATGGACCGGCAACGCCGCTCACTATAATAACACTCATGCCTGCCAGCAGCAGCAACTCCGAGTGCGGGCGCCGAGCGCGGGGGATGCTGCTGCCGCCGCCGCCGCCGCCGCTGCCGCTCGGGCGGCTCCCGCTACCCGGCTCCACTCGGCCGCCGCGCCGGCACTGACGCCCGCTCGGCCCGGTCCTGCCCGGCCGGCCGGCCCCTCCCAGCCCGCTCCTCCCGCGGGGCGCAGCGCCCCAGGGCGAATTCGGAAAGAAACCCAGCCTGCCTGCGAGAGGGAGGGCGCCGCGAGCATGCGGAGGCGGAGGCGCCTGGGCGCGCGCGGCCGCGGGGCGCAGTGAGCCCGGCCCCGGAGGGCGTGCGAGGGCGGCGGCGGCTCTCCGGGGCGCCCGCGGGTCTCGAGCCCACCCTTCCCGGGCTCCGGCGCGCTGCGGCTGTGGGCGCGGGTGCAGGGAAGAGGCGGCTGCGCTGGAGGAGGCGGCGGCTGCCCCATGGAGTGTTACTACATTGTCATCAGCTCCACGCATCTCAGCAACGGACACTTTCGCAACATCAAGGGAGTTTTCCGGGGCCCTCTCAGCAAGAACGGGAACAAAACTCTGGTAATCGCCTCTGTTTCTCTCTCTCTCTTTCTCCATCTGTCTCTCTCTCTCCTTTCTAAGAGGGCATTTGGAGGATTAAGGTTACGATGAGATTTTGGAGGTGGCATGATTCGATTTGGTTTACAATATATTCGTTTATTTATGTCGTGGGCTTGCGGAGAAAATTAGGTGTAAAAAAGGGCAGGCATCTTAGGGAAGCTGTGATCCATCGCTTTGGTTGACTCTTCGACACCTCACCGGACTCTCTCCACCTCACTCCATAATGCTGAAGATGACCACAATTTCTCCTTATATGAAGCAAATTGTGTTAACAGGGCCTCTTTTTAAGAAAGAAAAGAACCCTAACCCAGAGTGACCCCCTAACATCTTTCGGCTGAGGAAGGTGAAGGTGAATGAGGATGTGGTTGTCTCTGATGGGGGCAGGGAGCCATGTGGCTGGTGGCGCGGAGCAAGTGGCGGGATTGAGTGATGGTCTCAGAAGGAGTTTGTATTCCGGCTGTCTCCTGAAGGACTGGCAGCAAACTTCTCTAGTGAGGACTTGTCAGTACTAAATGTAACGGAGTGACTCCAGAACCCCATGCCATCAATTTTAAGCAATTCACTCAAAAGAGGTTGGAGATAAGTATAAGGGGCGAGCATTATGTCACAATCAGAGCCATTAGGAAACATGCTAGGCAAACAGAACCCAGGCAATCGTTAGGAGGTCCTCGCTGGACCACAGAGCTTCAGCTTTCAGCATCCTAGTAGGAAGAGCACTCCTGATTGGTGGGAGAGAATGTGCTGAGCATTTGAGATAGTGCAGGGTGATAGCTCTTACTTTTTCTTCCAAATCCCCTCTTAGCTGCAAAATCTCCCTACAGAACTGACTCTCATGTATTGGTATCTCCTAAGTATACACTTCAATAAAGAACAAGGAAGTAGAGGGAAGGCTCATTAGGCTAAGTACCGCAAAGAGAGTCCAGCCAGAGCAAGATGGTGATATGCAAATATCTCACTGAAGTCTGGGGCCATTAGCAAGCAGCACCCCTCCCCCCTTTTTTACGAAGCGGTTACTTAGCCTGAATAGATTGAGTAGAAGTTTAAGGACAGACTCAATTAGTTTAAAAGTAAATACAGTATTCTTAATCTACTTTTCTTTATATATCTTAAAATATGATTCTACACAATTTTTTTTTAAAAGTGCTGTGATGTGTTTTTCAAGAATGAAAAGTTCTCATCTGAAGTTTTACGCGAATTCTAACATTATGTGATACATGTGATTTTTTTCGTTTTCCCTTGAATCTATTGGCCTTCTCTCAGTTCCTTTAAGACTCAAAGAAGCGGGGTTAGCCTGTTGTTTTTATTACTATTCTGGATAACTGTTTGTTGTTGTTGTTGTTGAACAAAGAAAGAAAATACTTTCTATGATCTTTCTTAGTGGAGTACTATACAGAGCAGTAGGCAAAGGCTTAAGGCAATTATTGACGTTGTTCTGGCTCAGCTTAGAGAACTCAGTTATATGGGAAAGTAAATATTTTTTGGGAAAATTACTTTCATTTTGAAGAAAGTATGCTCTAGTTTGTTTTTTTTAAATCTAGTTTCACCTATGAGAAAAGGCAAATTTATTGAACAAGGTCTCGTCTCCGTAGTTACAAACATGGTGTAGGAGTTAAAACCATACAATAGAGTTCATAGGAAAAAAAATACTTGTTTGCCAAACCTCAACTTGTTAAAATTCTGTTAATCTTGATTCTTAAGTCAACCTTGGATTTCTAACGATGGTTGAACTTGCTTATGCTGATTGGTTTGTTGTGGATTTGAAGTTATTAGTTCTTTATCACTCATATTGACAAAAGATAGATTAAAGTCTAGATCTGGGATAAAAATGGGTGTTAAAATGCAGCTACCTATATGAGAGGGATAAATCTAAATATAGGCAAATGTCAGAAGCAACAAACTGGGAAAAAAGGCTTCCAAATAGCTCCTATCGTATTTCTCCTGGTTACAGTAAAAGGACTTAATTGGGACGTCATAGCTAGTCTTTCTAGGTTGTTTATAAACTGCCAAGTTTGTATTTCCTGTGTAAGAGATTTACACTGATTGAAATGATGTGGGGTCTTGTATATGATTCAACTATATTTGAAACTATTACTTTATAAGTTAATAAAAGTCATATGTTTGTTTTCTATATGCCTTTTGATGATTTTGTTATTGAAGAGAATAAGATTTATGTCTGTCTTTAAGTGTAACAAGAGATTCTAAATATGTTCATAAATGAATGTTTTAAATTAAATAAAGAATGCTTATTCTTTATGAGCATTCTTTATTAACATTTATACTTACCTAAAAATGTATCCTTTTTGGCACATGGGGTGCTAAGGGGACTTACTAGAAGCTAGAACGCACTATAAGCTAAAAACAGAAAACTGAACCTGAAACTTCTCAGAATTAGCAACCTTAATAAGAAACATGCATATTATCTTAAGAATGTATATATGCTACATTTTGAACATTTTCAGATAAGAATTTATGGTTGTCATGTTTTTAATCTCAGTTTCATGGAGTAATAATTATGAGATCTTTTCTACTTTCTTGCTTGTTTGATTTTGACATATTTTGAATTTTGCTTTTAAAAACATCATCACATTTTGCATTTTGAAATGTGTGTTAAAAGGATTTTAGTAATATCTCAAGTGTTTTTTTTTCCTTCTCATTTCAGGAAAGCACAACTTAAAATCATAAAACCATTTAGGGAAAAGATAATTTGAGTTTTCCAAAGAAATTCCAATTATTTTCAATCACTGGATAACTAATGGATATTCTGAACATTTTTTAAATTCCAATTTTTAAAAATGATTTTATAATCTTCAGAAATCATTGAACTGATTTAGGATAACCTGTTACTATTACCCCAAGGATTTTTCATAAATTAGAAGTTACTTAGAGAATAAAGTTACTTAAAGAGTAAAACTCAAATTCCAGTGACATTGATTAATTGCTTTAGTTCTAAATCCAGAAGGTAATCCTGCCACTCATACTGAGGTGATTATCAGAATGTACAGTCTTTCCCATAGGTCGTATTATGCCACTCACACATAAAATTAAAAAAAAAATACTTTAAAGATTAAGCCTCTTGTTATCTTGACCCTATTCCTGAGCTTTTAAATATATTCTTGACGATTTTAACTGAAAGTATACAAATTTTCATTTTGCAGTGTCTTACAAGCAAAGAGAAAGGTCACTCTGCTTGTCATGATTTCTGTTATAAATAGCATCATATCTGTGATATAGCTTTAATTCCATGGAATAATAAGCTAATAGTTCATTAGTGCCCCAGACTGTGTTTAAATAAGTTATATGGGTTAGTGGCAATGAATTAAGTTTACTTTCCATGTATTCTCATTCTTTTTCCTTAGATTATCCCAACCACCATTGGGTATGCAATTGTTTATTGGATAAGGACATTTTGTTATACTTATGTTTTGCAATTGCTCCACAAAATTTCTTTAACCTAATTATATGTTTAAAAACTTTTAATACAAAATATTTAAATATATATTATAAATAGATACATATTTAATATAGAGTTTAAATATATATTTAATGACTTTTAATATGGAATTTGGGGTTTGCCTTTGGAACTTTGGAAATCATTACCAATTTGTTCATTACATTTTGTTGGTCAGCATCTTTAGATCTTGTAATAGTATTATATCTATTTTACTGACTATGGAATTCAAAAGAAATGAGTGGTGGTTTTGAGGTCATACAGTGAGTCAATGTTATAATGCAGGTTTCCAGACTCCAGATGTATTTCCTTTATAATTTATATACTAAAGTAGGGAATCCATACCAATTGATATGATAATATTCATACTGATAAAGAGATGGTAGAGATGTCAACTCTTGTTTAAAGACACTCTCCTTGTTCACTTGCCTCCAGATGTGGGGAAATAGTGCCAGATTCACAGAATAATTTGAATTAAAATTTATTTTATTTCTCATCCTCCAATAAGCAAATACCAATCATTTCTGTCTGGCCTCAGCCCTGTTTCTGTAGGTTGCCCTCCATTTCTAGTATCTTAAGTATCAGGTTGGCAAGAAAAGAAATATTAATTCATTAATCTGTCTTCAACATATTTGTTATTTAGTTCATTTGGATTTATTGAGATGCCTCAATTGTAAAGCATAGAATATTCTAGGCCCCACAGGCTCTGTGTTAAGTATGGTATACTAAATATTATTCATAAAGATGTACTTAGGGATACTTCAGTTCATTTTGAACGTGTTAAAAAATATTCACATATTTTGACACATTTGCAGGTTTCTTGTCACTCAGGACATTTTCATACGTGTTCATTTTGAAAAGTATGAAAAAATTCTGGGTTTTTCCCTTTGTGTATACAGGAACTCACTAAAATTAGGTAGGTCTTTGAAATATACTATATGGCCTTTTCTTCTAATTATCATTAGCTAGTATAACATTATTATTCATGTCATTCCCTCACATTCCCTTACACATTTCTATATTTCCTAGGGAATGTAATTTAAAGGTTTCTCCACTCATTGGAAACCATTTGTGTGGCACATTTGAGATTGTGCATAAGATTAAAGAGACTAGTTGTTCAATTAGTGCTGCTGAAAAATTATCACTGTTGGATTAATATCCTCAACAAAGGTCAGGGGTGAGGGTGGATTAGGGTGATATCTTAATATATCCTCAAACTTTCCCACTTTATAAACTTGTTCACATAAACTGTCAGTTATATAGTCTTCCAAGTTTCTTTCACACTATTATGCATTCAGTGTTAAAGACTGTCTTGCGGCTCACTTTCCTGAATTTAAGGTATCATATATTCTTTGCTATACTTGTTTTTTATTGTAGCAAAACTTTGCAACATGTGCATTTTCAGAACACATTATTCAAGTAAGGAAATTAATTTATAATTGAATTGTTGATAATATGACCAACCCAAAAATGTAAGCAGTATTTTAAGGCAGATGTAGTCAAGTAATACCCA